TGGGGGGGGAGCAGTGGCAGCAGTAGATGGGAGAGGATGGGAATGGGAGGTGAGAAGAGAGGAGGTACTGCTAAACACAGAATGGGGTAGGAGAAAGATTCTTACCTGATTAAGGGACTTAAAAATGTCCCCAGCTGCTGCTTCCATGGCATGATCTTCCCATCCTGATGGAGAGGAAGCTGGGACTGGGGGTGCAGCCACCCCTGAAGTTCTGTTCACTGTTCCTACTCTACCCTTTACAAAATCCTGGATCCATTCATGAGGAGGAGAATGGATAGGCAATATTTCTGGGGGAGGGTGTGGTGGGATGAGAAGTCCATTGAATTATGAGCTGTTTGCCAGTAGTGGTAGGAAGGCTGCTTTGCTGCAGGCAGTTGGATTGAATACAGTCCATGAGCTGGCAGCGAGGTAGTAAGAGAGCCTATTGCTGCTAGGATCTGAAGATGGTGCCCAGTGAGGCTTAGTGCTGGTCTTGTCTCTCTTGACTTAGACATAGTGAGCTTGTCTACATGAGACACTAAAAGTGCAGTAGACTAATTCTACTGTGCATTAGTGCATCATAGCAAAAGCCATGTTAATGTACTAATGTGCAGTAGAATTAGTTTAATGCATTTTAGCATCACTTAAAAGACATGTGCTGGTGCTACTGTGCAGTAGCTTCGATTACTGCACATTAAGTTAGTAGCTGTTATTACAGGTACTAAACTTAGTGCAGAGTAATTATGGTGCATTAATGCATGTGTAGATGTGCCCACTGTTTCTTAACCAGGAAGGGAGGAGAATGCAACTGTGACCTCTCCAGGTGGGCAAGTCATGCCTCAGACAGGAGGTCTGAGGAGACTGAGCTTGGGGAGGCTGCAGTCAGTGTCAAATTGCTTTGAGAGGAGGCAGTCCAGGATAGCATGTCTAGTTACAAGTAGGATTCGTATAGGGGAGGGAGGGAGTCACTAATGCAAAGCACTCTTGAATACCTAACTGATCTTGGCCCTGTGAAATGTACATATTATAACCCCCAAATGCAGGGTTATAGGTGTAGAAAGAGAACAAAAGTTATGGGACAGGATTGTACCCTGGAAAGCCATGACTCTGGAAAGGATCTAGCAGATAACCAAGAGAATATGTGCACTGGTGCCAGAGCACAGAGGATAATTCAGCAAGGTGGTATAACCTGTGCATGGGGCATTGGTGAGTCTGTGCCTGGAGTACTGTGTCCAGTTCCTGTGTTCCCACCTGAAAAAAGATTCTTCAATAATGGAGAGGGTTCAGAAAAGTGCTCTACAAATAGTTCAAGGTGTGGACAGCTTGTCTTATGCTGAGAGAATTAAGGATTTCAGTCTACTTACGCTGTGGAAGAGAAGGTCAAGAGGTGCCTTGATAACAGTCTGTAAGTACACACAGGGGAAGAATATATTCAATTTTAGGGAGATTGTGAATTAATCATAGCAGTATGCAATGGCTGGAAGTTGAGGCAAGTGGTAGGAACAACTCTATACCTGTAGTTGTTCAGACATACCTGTGAAGTTGATGTGAGGGCATCTCTGTAACAAGTTATTCAGACATAGGCATTTTTATATTCAAAACCATGATCCAAACACAACTTTCAAGTGTCAACAAGCCCTGAGAAGCATTAAAATTAAAATAAAGAGGCAGCTTTCCACAAAGGAGGGAAATTAACCTTTGGAACAGGTTGCTCAGGGAAGTGTTAAACCCATTATCACTTGCAGTCTTTAAACTGAGACTGGATGTTTGGTTAATAGACATGCTCTAATTGAAGCACAACTGGATGAGCTTGATAGCAGTCAGGTATGTTAGAATTCTTTCCACTGCAGAAATCACTGAGTGAAATTCTAAGGCCTGTGCTATGTAGGAGGCGAGACCTGACAATCAGAGTCATTCAGTGATATTTGACTCTACAGATTGGACTGACTGTAACATTCTAGCCAGGAGAAGGTAGGAGTGAGGCAAGAAAAAAATGGGATGCGAAAAGATAAAGAAGAGAATAGTAAATTGTAAGAGAATAGAAGGGAAAGACTAGAAGGGATCATAGGCTGGTCTAGCAGACAGATCACTGGCCATGAATTCAACCCTTATGAATCCAAGTCTAGCTGTGTCACAGACTTCCTTTGTGACCGTGGGCAAAGCATATAGCTTCTCTGTGCCTGAGTTTCCCATCTGCAATTCTCACAGGAAAGTTAATATCCATCAAAGAGCTAGGTGCTCAGTTGCTGCGGTGATAAAGGTCACACAAGCAGGTAGATGCTTGCTTAAACTTGTTAATAAATCAGAATGATGCCTCCCTCTCCCCTCACCCTCATGTAACAAGAAGAATGGAGCAGATAAAAAGGGAATTGAAAAAACTGTGATTGCAGGGAGGCATAAGCTACTTCTTGTTTTCGAAGGCGCAGGTATGTTTAATGTCAGTTGCAGCTGTCTACCTTGCTTTTTAATTGCAGCATCCACTTCTTTTTTCCCTGTCCTCACTTGCCCCACAAGATTAGGTGTGTTTTTCTCATATTGAAAACAAGCATGCTCTAATCTATTCTGGGCCAGTATGTACCTTGGGTCTTTTATTGTTTTTTCTAAGCAGATTCTAATTTAAACTCTCTAGAACATGCCAGCATTTCCCCCTTGTGAATTGTTATTGTCCCCTTCTGATTGCTGTGTTGCATAGCCTTCCTATCATATTTGAAACTACTTTTGTTTCACAGGTATCTTTCATATATAATTTGAATTTCTGAGTACAAATGGTGTTAATATAATTTGGAAGATGGTGGTAAAATATCCTGTAAAACCACACTAAGATGTGTGCGTTTTAGGATTGAATAGACATACTTTTGAAGCGCTCCAAAATCTTGCTTCAATTGGAGCAGCTCAAATTTGGAGTTCTTCAGATCCACGCAGACTTCTAGGCCCTTCCCCTCTGTGTCTTTGGAGTGCTTCAGGGTATCCATGAAGTCATGTAGCGGTGGTATTCTGGAGCTAGGGGTGTCTCTGGAGGTTCCCTGAGGACATCTACATGCACAGGAGAGCTCTCTTTAGCTGTCCACCCTGCCCCCTTTTCCCCCGTCCTTTTTTTCCATTTTCTTTGAGAGTCATCTTTGAAGTGGTTCAGCTGCTTTCAGAGTCCTTCTTTGGGCATAAACATCTGTACCCTTGTTTTTTGTAGAGTTTCAAAGGTACTTGGTGTGCATCAAATATCAACTCTGTTCGTGAACTTACTTTACAACTGTCAAATGCAGTTCTAACAAGTGGGTTGTAGCTTTGTGAATGCTAGTGTATTAATGGCAAATGCCATGAGGGTCCTGTTTCCCTTCAGAATTCAGAGAAAGACTACAAGCACATACCTGTCTTGTTGTGAAATCATAAAGTTAAAAACGCATTTCAAACATATTTGTGCATAATCAGGGGAAAAATCTAATAGCTTAGAGTACTGTAATTCGTGCAGGTTATATGAGTACAGGCAGCACATGATTTAACACGTATCAGCCACACAAATACGCTAAAACCTAATCACACCAGGCTGAATTTTCCTGGCAGTTTTACAATTTCATCAAAGTCAATGGCATCCCCCAGCTGTGGCAGAAAATGGAATTTTGCTCTGTATAGCCATTCATTTTACTGCAAAAAAGTATATTAATAGGTTGCCTTATTCTATTTTACTGTATGTTTCCATATAAATGTAAACAAGGGAGATGTACGTATCCATGGCTTGTATGGCACAATATTGTATCATTCAGGAGCATCCACAATAGCACTACGTGCTAGCCTTACTGCAGAGTTTGCCCAGAGATAGATATAGCTAACGTCTCAATTTAGTAGGGCTGTGTCCCTTCTATCTTTTGGCCATATAAGGGCAAAATATTCTGGCTGCGCACAGTATGCTTCACGTGAGAACTGGCCAGAAAGAGACAGCTTCCCCCTGTCGCCAAGAATTGCTTATTCCCTGCTGAAATTCATTGGAAATGGAGTTCGGCTATTCATATTCCAGTGTCCTTTTGCCATCTGCTTCTGGGATGAATTGACTGGACTCTGGTCCTGCAGTTCAGGTCCGTGAGAATGGATCTTTATGTACTTTAAAAGTCCCATTGCTGTCAGTGGGTGCCTACATGAGTGCAGGAGTCTTTTGGCACAGATCTGAATGCAGGGTGGAGGTAGAGCACAGCACCATGATCCTGGTCAGTGCTACTCAGATACCAGCATTGACAGTGTTTAAAGCTGCTGCTCTGAAGGTCTCATCGCAGCTGTGGGAGCTGTTCTGATTTATACTTACCAGTCATTCTGCAGGAGCAAATTGCACCCACCAAAGGGTGATTTGACCAGTTGCAGCACAGCCAGGATTTTTGGAAGCAAGTAATACCAATGTCTTTTTAGGAATAAAAGTGTAAATCAGCGAATTCCCACCTAAATCATTTTTTTAGAAGTCAGTTGTGATTTGGGTTGTTCATTAACCTCTTAGCCCTTTCCCCTACAGCTTGTCACGAAACCTGCTCCACCTGCTGGGGGGCTGCTGAGAACAACTGCTTGGCCTGCAAAGACCACTCTCATGTATTAAAAGCAGGGGTCTGTGTGACCAGCTGTGGCCAGGGGTTCTACATCAGGAATGGAATCTGCACTGGTAAACCTCCACTTTTTGTTTTCTCATACAAGAATTTTGCATGTGCATTTCTAACAAAAATCTGTTCCGTTCAGCCAGGCAGCAAACATGGTGCCATACGTATCTTAAAATGCCAGGCGTGCCCTCTTGCATGAATATTGGGTGATAAAATGCTGCCATTTGGTTTATAAGGTTACTTGTTAATTTAAATTTTTCAGATGTTGAAAGGTTTAAGCAGAACAGCATGAAAGCAAAAACAAGATGATTCTTAGAGCTTGACAAATCCACTTGTTTGTGGAAAGAGATGCCCTTTGCCAGCAGGTTGCCTGAAGTTATGAATTTATCCAGTGCCTTAATGATGAATGCCTACAGGGCAAGTAGGACTTGGGGAGTGGGGAGGCCCATTAAAGAGAAAGAAAGAGGGGGAAGTAACTCGAGTAAATCCAGGTGGATCCTGAGAATAAAAAACAGGCTAGCTTAAGGAATTGCCAGAAGATTGGACTAGATCAGAGAGGGCCAAGCTTTTTGGCAGGTGGGCCACAATTAACCTCACACCCTCCCTAAGTGTCACTTCAATCCCCTTCCGTGATCTGCTGCTCTAGTTTCTGCTCCATGTCCTGTGTTCCCTGCCAGATCTGCTGCTGTCCATGCCATTTGTAGCATACATACTTCATGTAGGCCACCCCTGAACAAGACCATGGTCTGGGTTGTCCAGAATCATGTCTCCCAAAGTAGGCAGCAGTAGCTGCTTCAGAAGAAGGTGCAGTTAATTTTACAGTAGGCACATGTAGGATAATGTGCCCTTGCATAGGTCTTATCTCCACTGCTGGTAGTTAAAGACTGACTTAAACTCTGATGCCAAGTAAAATTAATTGCTAATGTTTCTGCCCCT